TTTATTTTGAGAACATCATCTCACCCTGCATTTCATGCATTGCATATAATTAACCCTAGCATCTTTTCAGGAAAAACAATCATCTTCAGCAAATCTAGCAGTTATACAGGTCACGTCTATAGACGACTAATGAAAACTCAGTTCCCGAAACCAAACGGGTTAACTAATCTACATTATCACCTCGAAGTAACCCTACTATCCAGGTTCCTTCTCACAACCCTACTATCCAGGCTTTCATTTCGAAGTAACCCTACGACCCAGGTTCCTTCTCACAGCCCTACTATCCAGGCTTTCATTTCGAAGTAACCCTACTACCCAGGTTCCTTCTCACAACCCTACTATCCAGGCTTTCATTCGAAGTAACCCTACTATCCAGGTTCCTTCTCACAGCCCTACTATCCAGGCTTTCATTTCGAAGTAACCCTACTATCCAGGCTTTTATTTCGAAGTAACCCTACTACCCAGGTTCCTTCTCACAGCCCTACTATCCAGGATTTCATTCGAAGTAACCCTACTATCCATGTTCCTTCTCACAGCCCTACTATCCATGCTTTCATTACAAAGTAACCCTACGACCCAATTTCCTTCTCACAGCCCTACTATCCAGGCTTTCATTTCAAAGTAACCCTACGACCCAGGTTCCTTCTCACAGCCCTACTATTCAGGCTTTCATTTCGAAGTAACCCTACTATCCAGGTTCCTTCTCACAGCCCTATCATCCTAGCTTTCATTTCAAAGTAAACCTACTATCCAGGTACCTTCTCACAGCCCTACTATCTAGGCTTTCATTTGGAAGTAACCCTACTATCCAGGTTCCTTCTCACAGCCCTACTATCCAGGCTTTCATTTCGAAGTAACCCTACTATCCAGGTTCCTTCTCACAACCCTACTATCCAGGCTTTCATTTTGAAGTAACCCTACTATCCAAGTTCCTTCTCACAGCCCTACTATCCAGGATTTCATTTCGAAGTAACCCTACGATCCAGGTTCCTTCTCACAGCCCTACTATCTAGGTTTTCATTTCGAAGTAACCATACTATCCATGTTCCTTCTCCTAGCCCTACTATCTAGGTTTTCATTTCGAAGTAACCCTACTACCCAGGTTCCTTCTCACAGCCCTACTATCCAGGCTTTCATTCGAAGTAACCCTACTATCCAGGTTCCTTCTCACAGCCCTACTATCCAGGCTTTCATTTCAAAGTAACCGTACGACCCAGTTCCTTCTCACAGCCCTACTATCCAGGCTTTCATTTCGAAGTAACCCTACAACCCAGGTTCCTTCTCATAGCCCTACTATCCAGGCTTTCATTTCGAAGTAACCCTACTATCTAGGTTCCTTCTCACAGCCCTACCATCGCGACTTTCATTTCGAAGTAACCTTACTATCCAGGTTCCTTCTCACAGCCCTATTATCCAGGCTTTCATTTTGAAGTAACCCTATTATCCAGGTTCCTTCTCACAGCCTTACTATTCAGGCTTTCATTTTGAAGTAACCCTACGATCCAGGTTCCTTCTCACAGCCCTACTATCCAGGCTTTCATTTCGAAGTAACCCTACTATCCAGGTTCCTTATCACAATCCTACTATATAGGCTTTCATTTCGAAGTAACCCTACTATCCAGGTTCCTTCTCACAGCCCAAAATTTTCCCTCTCATTTTACTCAACACATGCCCATTGATATCCTCTACTTGCTCAAGGATGCACAAGAATTGACCAGACAAACTCTCTCCTAAGGCAATGTATCTCAAACTAGGGTTTCCATTTTCATCAAGGTGAGTGAACTCCAAATACCTAATATGCTCTCCATGGTCCTAATATGTCCTCAATACCCTCCGTGCGAAATTTCAAGCCTTGCATAAGAAGTTTACTCAGTCAACTACTCAAATGCTTGAGAATCGATTGTATTAGGTCAAAAGTCAACGGTGGCCCAAATACATTAAAACTTCAAGATTTTTGGTCAAAATAAACATTTTGAAGTTGTATCCATAATTTGATCAATGTTTGATCATGATTCCTCAAGGAATGCCCTAAATTCATCAAAACCCAAAAGTTGCTAAATTAGGGTTTCTTAGGAAAAGTCAACCAAACTTTGACCAAGCATAACTTCTTCATACTTTATCCTAAATTTTCCATCCAAGGCTCATTTTGAAGAGAATTCAATTCCCTACAATTCATATTCATACCTAAAGTTCAAAATATGCACTCACAAAAAGATATGGATTTCCACATTATAGGTCCTTTTGAAAAGACAACAAAAACACTTTTTGGGTCAAAGCTTATTACATGAACATGGAAGATTTAATTGAGATGAGACCAAAAGGGTTGCTTATGGGACATTCTAAGCTTTCTAAAAAGTCCAAGAACACCTCTCTAGGGTTAAAATTGGAAGAGATATGCCTTGTCAAAGTTGACCTTTTTGCAAAATTACCAAAAGTCAAATGTGCTCAAAAATGCATTTTTTGTCGAATGGGTCTAACTTTTTACGCTTGCACCCCACTTATAACATGGTCCACGACCCAAATATTCACTCACATGTTATTTGCTTCATTATTTATTTTATTTTGATTTTTTATTAATTAAAAATTAAATTAAATCAAATAAATGGTAAATAATAGCAAAGATTTGTTTTGATTGGATTTTTGGACAGAATCACAAGCTCATTATGCTGGCATATTAGAATCAAATCGAATCAAAGCTAATTGGCAAAAGAATGGCATGATTAGGCCAAATTTGGAAGGATATCATACCACATGAAAACCAAATCAAATCTTCAAAAATTGCAAAGATACTAGTGGTTTTTACAACCCTAATTCGTTCAAGGATATATAATGAACAAAGCCAGGCACAAAAACGAGAGGTGGCAGTCGTGAAGAACCCTAGAACAAACTCAAAAAATTTGGCAAAAAGTGGTGAATTGATCTCTACCCTAGAGGATAATTCAAGGCCTTCCAACGTTCCCAAACGATTCCTGGACCTTCCCAGAAGCTAACCCAGTCGATTGCAGGTCCTTTCACGCTCAGAAATGCTCGCTACATCTCATACAGTTTGCCTACTTTTCTCAAATCGATTACAACCATTCTCGCATCATTAGCATGATTTAATGATATATTTTTGATCATTGATGTATTTCTAACATGTCTGGATTGTTTAATTGGATTTTTGATGAACATATTGATGTTTGCCATTGTTAGGGTTTACTTGGTAGTTTTAGGTTTTTTTCATACTGAAACAACCGGCTGAAAATCATCAAACAATGAAGTCGCCATCGAACGTCTTTTATCCCACGTGTAAGGAAAGGTAAACATCGAGAAAACCCGAGAAGGATGAAATCAAGGTCGAACGACCAAGAGATAACGGTAAGGGAGTCTATTACGCGAGGGGAAGGTATTAGCACCCCACACGCCCGTAGTACTCTATGGTATCCACTCTTGTTATCTATCTTATGGGTGTGTTTAATCTATATCTTAACTGTACAGGAAACACATGCAAAATAAAAGAGAAAAGAATGTAGGGAAAATGAAAAGTTGTGCTCGTTCGGGCCCTACCCTGATGCCTACGTATCCCTTTTAAGGAATCAGAGCAGCCGTAGTTCGGCTTATATGTTTTTGTCGGTTTGTATTTTTTAATGAACAACATTAATTTCGCCTTCTGCCGCAACTCGACCTTCAGAGACTTACGCGTCAGCACAGAAGTGAATTAACATGCTCTCTTGAAAAGTTTGCAAAGAAATGTGCCTGGACGCACAAAAAGGTTTGAATTTGGATCGTGTTTTTGATGAACGATATTAATTTCGCCTTCTGCCGCAACTCGACCTTTGGAGACTTACACGTCAGCACATAAGTGAATTAATATGCTCTTTTGAAAAGGTTTTGAAAGAAAGGGCCCAAAGGCAAAAAGAGTTTTGTATTGGTCGATGTTTTTGCTTGTAAGTAACAACTAGTTAACCTCAAGAGAGGGATTTTAGCCATTTCTCTACTTATTTGTGAAAGGAGCCTTTGAGACTTGAACCGTGCCAAGACTTAGAATGGAAAAATGATAAGATCGAGAAGAGACCCGCTTATCGTCTCCCATGTTCAATAAAGGCACGATTATCGTCAGCAATTTTTTTTAAGTATTTTGGAGTTTACGAGAAAAAGAAGTTTTTGTTTTTAAATGCATATGCGAAAAGAAAAAAGAAAAGTCACAGGGAGACTAACCTATTTATAAACCTAAAGTCGTCATACTATTAGACCTAAGTCAAGGGTGAATGAAAGGGGAACGTCTACCTAATGTTAGCATGCATATGGATGGCGGTAAAGTACGAAAATGAAGGGAAAAAAAGGGCTGTGACGATACCGAAGTTGCTCCGCATGAGTGAAAAAAAATTAATCTCTAAGCATTTCCCATTGCAAGAATTACATCGATGCTATCACAAAAATCTTGACTAAAAATGGCAAAAAAATGATTACCAAATATGAAAAATAAAATAGTAAAAAGAAACTCTAATCGAAATTCTAAAAATGAAATTCTAAAATATTCTAAAATATTCTAAAAAACATATGCTACTATTTTTGTATATTGTTTTTATCATAGAAAAACAGCCGAAGAAAATTTGGTGAAAGAATTAAAACAACAAAATTAAAACAAAAAAAAACAATGAATCAGAAGGAGGTATGAACTGGAATCTAGGGAGGTGTAGAAGTGGGTTGAAGCATCAAGCCCATGAAGAAAAGGTCCAATAAGCATTTTTTGTACAAAAAATCTTTCATTAGGCCTAGGGGGAAGTGGATCGGTCCATGATCCTTCACACAAGTCCAATTCCCATTTTTGTTATCATTTACTTTAAAAAAAAAACAATGGTTAGAGAATACATCAGAACGCCGCGTTTGGAGAGGAGAGAGGGTTTCGTCTCAACCGGCGCCGTGAAAATCCATTGATCTTCAACTCCGATTAACCTCCTTCTTCTTACAACGGCGGCCGGTGATTCTCTCTTCGCCTTCACCATCGCGATTCTTCTCTCATGGTGCGACTCTTCTTCACCAACACATCGGCGGCGCGGTCACTTCTACTCCCTCTCGCTTCTTCTCAACATGGCGGCCTCAACCTCCTCACCCTTACCTTCTCCACTTCATGTCGCTGTAAGCACGACATCGCCACCATCTCCTCATGGTTTTGACTCCATCTTGCTTTCGTTCTTCATCTCATATCCGCAGTAACCTCCTTCAAAGTTACGCTTCGTTCATGTTACATCTCCTTCGCATATCACGCCTCTGACTCACTTCGATTCTATGATACAACAAATAGTAGAAAGGGCGAAAGAAAAAAAAAACAGAGGAATGTCGAAGCTTACTGGCCAAAGATACTCTGGTGGCTCTTTAACGATGACGTTGAGTGAGAAATATAGAGGTAAATTCTTCTTCTCCTTATTTCTTTCATGCTTCTTTGGTTATCTTCTAATTGTTTATGAGAACCGTTGAATTCTTTTAGATTTGTTGTTGCTTATATGTAGAGTTGCACGTTGATATGGTGCAGGATAAATTCGGTTGTGATGTTATGCGAGGAAGAATAGAGATCGAATATGCTCTAATTCAGAGAGATTTTATGCAGAGGAGAGGGAATTGAGAGTGACTTCAGAATTCTATGAATGATCGTTATGAAATCTGAAGAGATGATGATGATCAAAGAAGATGAAGCCGAGAAAATTGAGAGAGTACAGAGAGAATTTTAGATAGAGAAATAATGAAGGTGGGTGATGACTGAAGGTGCAAAGAGTTGTGAGATTATTGAAGTGTTGTTGTTGTACCGTGAAGGGGAATGATGCGAGGATGGAGGTGCATAGAAAGCTCAGAGATATGAGAGAATTTTTTTGGGTGAGTTCTTTGTGAATTTTTCTCTGTTTTTTAGGAATGACCCTGCTTGAAGGGCTCTCTGCATAATGAATCCTGATTATGTATATATGATGAGAGAGTTGGAGGGAGCTTTCATAAAATTCTGTTTTTGGTTTTAGAGTTAGTTATATGGTTAGGAGCTTAGAAACTGTTAGAGTTAGTTAGAAAATTCTGTTAGAAAATTTTGGTTAGAAGTTTGTTATGGTTACAAGTTAGTTGTATTGAAATTCTGTTTGTAGTTAGTAGTTTAATTGTTAGAGAGAAAGTTAGAAGTTAGAAAATCTGTTATGAAAAGTTAGTTGGCAAGCTGAAGGTTATGTCATTGGCTTGTTAGTTTTGGTTCTGATTGTGGATTGTTTTGATGCGATTTTACAGGTTGAGTTCCAAGTGGCCAGTAGGACTTGTGTTGAAGCAACATTTGAATTATCCTGTGTTTTCTCAGCAGAAGATGATGGAGGTTTAATCCAACGGTTAAATAATTCTAGATGATGTAAACCTTGACAAGAAAATAAACACGAAGGTATCTTATAACGTTGCCCTTTCCAGATTTCCAGCACAAACTCTTTAACAGGCCTTCTAGCTAGATGAAGAGTCCACCTATCTATATCAGTCACACCAACAAGCTCGCGATGCGATAGCTTGAACTTTTCTGTTAACCTACCCTCCTGAATGTAGTAGTCTATTTCTCTGAATATATTAGTCACAATGGAAAACTATACCTTATCAACTTTAAGAATCATAAGAAATAAGTATTTAATGCTATCATAAGCTTCAATGACAGCACACCGGCGATACTCACTCTTTCATATCTTCAACCAAAGTGATGTGTCAGACTCATTTTCCAGCTCTTTTGCCTGAGTGAGAGCAAGTAGTATCTCATTGCATAGAAGGAAACACGGCCATCGAATTACCCTAATTTTCCAGCAATTTGGTGGCAGTTCCAAGAGTTCTAGTTCTCGATCACTAAGGATATCTTCCTCCCTGAAAGTTATGATAATCTCATTCCATATTAAAGCAAACCTGGTGGCATCCACTTGGCTTGATTCAATTTTTGTGAAGGGTTTACCAAGTCCGTATCGTAATTTCAACCGATGGATGGCATCGCGAAGCTTCCTCAGCAACATTGCCTACTGACTTAGTAGCTTCTCCTCTAGCATCAGATTGAACTGCATTGCACTGGCAAAGAACTGGAACCGAAGCCTTAGTTGTGAGATATTCCGAATTTCACCCAAATGTGAAAACAAACCAATCGTACCACCAACAACGGCAGAGATAATCGAATACCATATTTGCAAATCTATGAAGTATATCAGCACAACAGGTAACCATAGCAAAACAACTGCAAGTATGTTGGTGTTATTGAAAAACTCATGCCATTTATAATTAATGCCGCTAAGTTTCAATAGGTCCTTTGTAGCTTTGTTTTGTAATCTTGAAATGACATGTACTATAACATGAGTGAATGAAAGACGCTCGAATGATTGAACTTGAGTAATTTGAATAATTTGAACGACCATGGATGGGAATAGTTCCGACTTGTAATAGAAATTTGATTTCTTTTGTAAATTTGTATCCTTTTGTATATTTTGAGAATTATATAGTCAAAGCAGAGGCTTGAATGAGATGTAACTGGTAGAACTTGAATATGCTGAAACTTGCTACAATTCAAAATTCCATGTTTATTATTTATGAGCTTTTTTTTACAAGATGGATCCTCTTGAATTATGTCATTTCTAAACATTCTTTAAGTTTCTTAGCTTTTGGTAAATGGAGGCCTTGATCACTTTTTAGTCAAATTAAGGAATTCTACCCATCCGACCTCAAATTTAATCCATGGTACTCCATGATGAGTGTCTTATGTGTTTCACAAGAACTTGAATCAAAATTTTCCTTGTATGCCATATTCCTATAAGAACTTTGGTTCAAACAAACTTGCACACCATGCTTTGGATCTCAAAACTCAAATTTCAATGTTTGAATTTCCAATTCTAAACACCTCGCACCTCAAACTCGCATGAATGGAGACGCTTGACTTTTAACCTTGAATGATGACGGATATTTGTAAAAAAATGATGATGATTTGTACTTGGAATTTGAAACTTTGATGACTGAGATGTCTTTTGTAACTTCGGTGTAATGACTTGAATTTGTAATGAACAAAACTTTATAACTTCTTGCATGACAAATTTCCAATTATTCAAAACATTTGTCTCATTCAGTTTGAGCTTGAATGGATACTTGAATGAACTTGAGACAAACATGATAAACACTCGAATGTTATTTAAATGAATCTTTTTATCTTTTACCTTGGGGTGAACAATGATGTGGGATAATCTTGAAAATAACAAATTGAATCATGAAGAGATTTACTTGATACCATGTACTTTAATCTCAACTTATATTCATGTGCCATCTTCCTCCGCAAGAATTTATGAAATAAACCTTCAGGCATGCTATTTCCTTTTTTATCAAGTTGAACCTTAATCCATGTTTGAAACCAAAGTTCTTGCACAAATATCCAAACAATAGCTTGTACCAATTATTCGCAATACCTTGACCGTCAAGCAACCAAATTTACCATACAAAATATCTTAAATCATGACGTACCCAATCCTAATTGATTAACTTAAGGATAGATGAACTTAATGCAACAATGACATAGTCAACAACCTGTAATGCAAGCATCATATGCATCCTGGATTGATAACAGATCTTGATCCTTTAGAGAAGATCTTAATACACCTCTAGTATTGACAAAACCTTGACCAAATGACAAGCACAATGATAGAATGAGGTGTTTTGAATCATGTACGCGAGATCACAACCTTATGTTATTGACAGGAATACCCTGCAACTTATTGTTCAATAGAAGATAATAACCTTGTAGCTTGATGGAGAAGAAATCCAAAAAAGAGAATGAACCAAAACCCTAATTCCACAGCTTGCTGCCTGAATAAGAAATCATCCTTTATTAGATACGAGCGCCTTAACCACTGTGAAACCCTAGTATCGCACAACCACTGAACTTTGAAACTCAGAGCTATATTGAATGAAATGTATGCCATGTTAGTGACCTAATGAAATAGATGCAGATGAATGCAAAAATTCTAAGCCAAAGTAAAAGAAATTAGGAGGGAAAATTTTGGGGTGCAACAGCTGCCCCTATTTAATCGTCTTCAACCTGAAGGTGAGATTGGCGTCAGCCTTTCGAACTTTCAGGGTGGAGGAAGATTAAATACTAAAAGAACCCGAAAATTTGCGCTCCGGAGTCAGTCAGGTATACGCTATATTTTTTGGTTTTCTGTACTTTCTATATTTATTTATTTTTATTATTTTTTTAAGTAAAAAGGATTATCAGGGTTAGATGTATGTTTAATCAAAGTTTGACACACCGAAGGATAACTTGGTTATCGAGGAACTTATGTTGGGATTTAGTAACAAACACCTGTAATAAAGATATATGCCTGAAGTTTGTAGCAGACATACGAAAAAAAGTATCAGAGACACATATCCGGGGTTGGTAGCGGATACGCAAGAAAGAGACATCAAAAATACATATCCGTGGTCGGTATCGGACACGTAAGAAAGAGATAGAAAAGATACATATCCGTGGTCGGTATCGGATACGTAAGAAAGAGATAGAAAAGTTACATATCCGTGGTCGGTATCAGATACGCACAAAAGAGATATCAAAGATACATATCCGTGGTCGGTATCGGATACGCACAAAAGAGATATCAAAGATACATATTCGTGGTCGGTATCAGATACGCACAAAAGAGATATCAAAGATACATATCCGTGGTCGGTATCGGATACGCATAAATGATATCAAAGATACATATCCGTGGTCGGTATCAGATACGCATAAAAGATAACAAAGATACAAGAACATATGTCTGGGGTTGGTAGCAGACATATAAAGCAAGTATCAAAAATACATATATGTGGTCGGTATCGGATACGTAAGAAAGAGACATCAAAGATACATATCCGTGGTCGGTATCAGATACGTATGACAAAGACATCAAAGATACAAGAATATATGTCTGGGGTTGGTAGCAAACATATAAAACAGGTATCAAAAATACATATCAGTGGTCGGTATTGGATACGTAAGAAAGAAACATCAAAGATACATATCTGTGGTCGGTATCGGATACGTACGAAAGAGACATCAAAGATACATATCCGTGGTTGGTATCGGATATGTACGAAAGAGATAGAAACGATACATATCCGTGGTCGGTATCAGATACGTAAGAAAGAGATATCAAAGATACATATCCGTGGTTGGTATCAGATACGTACGAAAGAGACATCAAAGATACAATAACATATGTCTGGGACTGGTAACAGACATATAAAACAGGTATCAAAAATACATATCCGTGGTCGGTATTGGATACGTAAGAAGGAGACAGACCGAAGAAAGCTCTTACAAAGAAAACACCAATCGAAGGTGAACTTACTGAGGGAAGAGACCAAAACAAATGGGACTCCTGACAAATGATACCAGTCGACGATAAATGATACCAGCCGAAGCAGGGTTTTGAAAGATACCTGCCGGAGCGGGATTTTAACAAATGATACCGGCCGAAGCGGGATTTTGAAAGATACCAGCCGAAGCGGGATTTTTGAGAAATACCAGCCGAAGCGGGATTTTGAAAGATACCAGTCAAAGCGGGATTTTGAAAGATACCAGCCGAAGCGGGATTTTAAAGGATGCCAGCCGAATGTGGACTTTAAAGGGTGCCAGCCGAAGGTGGACTTTAGGATAAAGAAACCAGTCGAAGGGGAATCTTCATCCAGGAATACTATGCCGAAGGTAGATTCCTAAGAAAAGAACGCCGGTCGAAGGCGGACTTACAACTGCAAAGAGACCAGCCGAAGGGGACTCTCAACAAACGGTACCAGCCGAAGGTGGATTTTAAAGGATGTCGGCCGAAGGTGGGCTTTAGGATAAAGAAACCAGCTGAAAGGGAATCTTCATCCAGGAATACTATGTCGAAGGTAGATTCCTAATAAGAGAACGCCGGTCGAAGGCGGACTTACAACTGCAAAGAGACCAGCCGAAGGGGACTCTCAACAAATGGTACCAGCCGAAGGTGGATTTTAAAGGATGCCAGCCGAAGGTGGACTTTAGGATAAAGAAACCAGCCGAAGGGGAATCTTCATCCAGGAATACTATGCCGAAGGTAGATTCCTAATAAGAGAACGTCAGTCGAAGGCGGACTTACAACTGCAAAGAGACCAGCCGAAGGGGACTCTCAACAAACAGTACCAGCCGAAGGTGGATTTTAAAGGATGCCAGCCGAAGGTGGACTTTAGGATAAAGAAACCAGCCGAAGGGGAATCTTCATCCAGGAATACTATGCCGAAGGTAGATTCCTAATAAGAGAACGCCGGTCGAAGGCGGACTTACAACTGCAAAGAGACCAGCCAAATGGGACTCTCAACAAATGATAAAGGTATGCATATCTGGTCAGAGTTAGATACACAAGAGCGAAATTGATCATCAAGAAACAAATGTTTAGAATTGCTAGCAAACACAGGAACGAGACTAACCGAAGAAACCCCAATAAAAAAGGACGCATTCGCCCAAACAAGGGCGCCAGACAACTGGACTTTGAAGAGACATTGAAAGACTCTTAATCATAAAAAGTTAGCTAGGCTAACGAAAGGAGGACCCGACTAACGTGGATAAACCAAAACAAGGAACCGACTAAGCAGGACCTTCAAAGAGCACCGATCGAAGGTGAACTCTGCAAGAGAAAGGGACTGGTCAAAGTAGACTTTAACAAAGAAAAACATGTTAGGCTTTTGATAGGCTGCAAATACTCCAGAACTAAAAATCCCCCAGGCCAAAGGCGGGGTGTTAATTCTTCAAGAGTGGCAATTGTCAGAATTACCACACACCAAGTATGGATACTCAAACACTCGAGAAGCAAGAAGGTTATAAGCCAACTCTTACTCATACTCTAACGACAAAGCAAACGCGGGTAAAATAACCGAAGGCTTGCAAAGAAAAGCGCAAACCACGAACTTACTGGGGAAATGGAGTAATACCAAAGACCCGACTGGTGGTGAATCCAAACACACTATGCTGGGGAAACATAATAGAATTACCCTAGGCTTCTTGTGGAGGTAAATCAAATCTGAGTGCATAACAATCTGGTTGCCACAAGTGGACACAATTGGCTTATACTCATGCATGTTTGAAATTTTTTATAGCGTAATGCTCCATGCGATGGAAATGCTATGAGTTTTGGGAGATGCAATGTAATGATGCAAGTTTAGTAATGCATTATGAAGACATATCAATAATCGGCTGCTGAGAAGTCAGTGAACTTTCGAACAATTGTTATTGCACATCTGATCTTTTGTAGAGAAAAAGCAATTTGTACTTCAATGGGGAACCGAGATTCAAAATCATCAATGTTTAAACTATTGATCTCACTGGGGAAGCAACTTCTTGGGGAGAATACTACAAAAATGAAATTGTAGTTCAGAGAAA